AATAAAGCTGCAAAACTCCACAAACAAAAACAAAACAACAAAAAGCAATGCTTCTACGAGAAATGGACAAGTGATCTACAGAATTATAACTTTTCCTGAGTCTACCAGGGAGCTAAGTTTGCAAGGCAACCAAAATATGACAAGCCCCTCCAAGAAGAGATGAAACACAGGAACTATTATCTTTGAAAGAGCACAGGAGAAAGAGGTGGCCACCTCTTAGAGATGGCTAAGAATAAATCAGCTAAAACTAATAAAATTTTAAAAGCCAAGAGTGGACTGGGGCAGAGGGAGGGTCACTTTGGAATAGCTACAAGCCCCAGAAATATTACAGGAGAGCCCACAATCACTCAAAAGCTTTTCCATGGGAATCCACAGGGTGCTCAGAAAGATGGGGTCAGGCAGGACAGAGCGCCCCTCTTTGGTAGCACTGGTGTGTGTGCAGGAGGTAACAGGCTGCAGCTGGGGGACAGGCACCAACCCCTCCCACTTCCCATGTCCCTTCTTTCCTGCCCTCTGGCTCCAGGGGCACTGGTTGCCTGGGGCAGAAAGTTGTTAGTGTCTGTTGAATAAATGAACATATGAAAAATATTCTCAATAGCTGTAAGCATAATACACAATGAAAGCAATTCAAAATTAAATGGTTATAAATTGCAAACCTTGAGTACAATTAAGCAGCAAGCATATTAAAAAATATTTAGCCTTATTTCTAATACAAGAAATACAAGTTTAAGGATTTACACATCCCCATGTTCTCCATCCATGATTTTTATTTTTCTTACTATCCTTCTTTCCTTCCTTCCTTCTCTTGTTAGCACCTGATGGTTCAGAAGAGTCTTCAGGAAAGGTTTAGTAAGACCTAGGGACAGATAAAGATGGCCAGTAGAGAAAAAGTTAACATTGGCCCATGTTTATCTACTCTCAGAGGATTTTAGTTTTCCAACTTTGCATCCTTTATCGATACTTTGAATTGGACCATAGCCTCTGATTCTTGTTTATGCACTTGCTGTCTCCTCAATACTGGTTCATTAGCAAACATCTCTTTCTTGGTACTCTCTTCTCTTGCAGAATAATCTAGTATTTAAATGCCCCCTTGCTCATGTCAGCAATGTTACCAATGAGATGGTAGGCTTACAAAAGAGGAGCTTATATCATCTCGATGGCTGACATTTTTCTTTAATTGAGATATAACTAACATATAACATTATATTAGTTTTAGGTGTACAACATAATGATTTAATGTTTGTATATATTGAGAAATGATCACCACAATAAGTCTAGTTAACATCCATTACCACACAAAATTTTAGTTACAAAATTTTTCTTGTGATGAGAATTTTCAAGATCTACTCTTTTACCAGCTTTCTAATATACAATACAGTATTATTAACTATAGTCGCCATGCTGCACATTACATCTCGATGACTTATTCACTTTATAACTGGAATTTTGTACCTTCTGACCCCCTTCACTGATTTCGCCCCCTACCCCCAACCCTGGGCAACCACCACTTTGTTCTTTGTATCTATATGCTTGGTTTTTTTGTTTGTTTGTATTTTTTTTAGATTCCACATATAAGTGAGATCATACAGTATTTGTCTTTCTCAGTCTGACTTATTTCACTTAATATCCTCAAGGCCCATCTGTGTTGTCAGAAAAAATTTTGACACAATTTTTTGTTACAAAAACAATGTGTGCTCACAACAGAAAAATACAGATTAAAAGGAAAATAACACCTGTATTACTCATCTAGAGACAACCATAGTTGATCTTTGTATACAAACAGATAAACAGAGAATCTCAGATTTGTGTATATTTTATACTCATAGTTTAATTTTAAAAATGATTTATATTACATATACTGCACATTTCCCCCCTATCTGGCAGATTCCAAAAACATCCTCCCATGTCAGCAGTTATATTTCTGCAACAGTTAATAATAATGCCTGGGTAATATTTCAGTACGTACATGTACCACAACTTCTTTCTTTTCAAAATCACGTTTAGTAAACAACCCCTACTAAAGGACATTATAACTATTTTTACTTTATAAATGACTTTTCAAGCAAATAAAAGGAGGGTCAAAATGTCACTCTAAAGTTTAAATCTTGATAACTGCAAAAATGAATTACATAGTGAAAATTTTTGTACTATGCTTGATAGTTAACCAGAAGATACAAAGCTGCAGTCTGAAAGGCTTTTATGCCATAAGGAAAAAAAATGAAACAAACACACTTATAAAGCTTCCCAAATTGTCCATCACAAATGACCAAAGCTTATGACAGACCTGGTTTCTGGATTGATGACATGAGTGTACTCATTCATTTTACTTAAGAGAAAAACAGAAAAAAGCTCTGTCATAAGATCAATAAGTCCAGAGTGAAAAACAGGTTTCCTCAAACAAATTCAGGGAGATAAAAAATTTCATAAAATAAAAATCAGAAATTCTTTTTCTATAGGCTTTCAAAATACTGAAAATAACAAAAAAAAAGTTTTTGTCTTTGAATATAAAGAAAATGTGGGTGAAAGTCTTTAGAATGAAGAAATATAGAAGATTTTCTTCTAAGCATGTCACAAAAATGTGGACACATAAAAATTAACTCCATATGACAACAATCCAACAGGATGAAATAAATAAAAAAACAGAAAAATACCTGCGACATGTGACAGTTAAATAATCAATCTCTTAATATACAAAGAGTTATTACTAGCCAATGAAAAATAGAAATGATTCCCTAAGAACTAAATGGGCAGAAGACATGAACAAGCAATTCACAAAACAAATAAAAATGGTCAATAAACATATGAAAATTATTGAACCTCAGCGAAATTAAAAAGATTAACAATCCCATCTTTGTGAGGTTGCCCATACAAGGGAGACAATGTAATTTGATACAGCCTTTCAAAATCTGTAACAAGTATCAAAATATAAAGTATATATATATCCTTTGAGTCATTAATCTTACTTCTAGGAATTAAACCTCAGGAAAACAATTATATATAATTATATACTACAGTATTGCTTATAAGATAAAGAAAATAAACCAATTGTCTATGAATGGAGAATCGGTGAAATAAATTATCGTATGTAGGTATACAACAGAAAGTCATGTAGCTATGAAAAAATGTCAACAGTAGATCTACATTAGTTGGTGTTGAAAGCCATCCATCAGACTGTAGGGTTTTCAAAATGAGGAAGTTAGAACATAGGCTATATAGTGTTATTTATGTGAAAAGGATACATAGATTGTTACATAGAAATGTCTGAAAGGATGGTCACAAAAAAGTTAACAGTGAATTCTGGTGATTTTCACATACCTCATAATGTTCTGGATTTAAAATATAATAATAAACGTGTCATTTTTACAAAAATAAGAGACTCATAAATTATGACTGTTTTATTCTCAACAAGATGGATTTTATCTATATCTAGTTTGGCTATCAAAGCCAGCTGGTTATTTCATGTTGGCTTGGTTTTCATATTTTGATTACTGTAGTATAACAAAGGATTTGTCTGGTCTTAGTCCTGGGTTCCAGGCAGAAGCTTCAAACAACCCTAGGATCCCTCAGTGTCTTTGTTATGCTAATACCGTGACGCCTAGGAGCCCCTAGAGGACATCAGCACTGAGACTTTCAGCCACAGACCTCCAGAGAGTGAAAGGAGGTTGGGGGGTGGGGGTGGGGGAGAACTAATGCTTGCTTCTTTCCCTTTATTTAGTAGTTTGTGAAATAAGGAGTTGGTTCCAAAGGATCCTCCAAGGNGAAGTGGCCGCCGCCGACCCAATCAATGATGCCTATGTATGAAGTCCCAACAAAAACTGGACACAAAAGGTCCATGGAGCTTGCTGGCTGGCGAATAGCTGAGGTGCTGGGCGAGTGACTGCCTGACGCCACAGGGAGAGGGCTTAGAAGCTTTGTGTTCCCTCCCAGATTTCACCTTTGTGTATCTTTTATAATAACATTGCACTAGCACCATCCTGGGTTCTGTGAGTCACTCTAGTGAATTATCACACCGGGGGGGGGGGGTTGTGGGAAATTCCCAACTTGGTAGCCAGTTGGTCAGAGGTGTGGGTGGCCTGGGGGACACCCCCTCTCAAGACTTTTGGCTGGAGACTGAAACAGGAGCAGCCTTGTGGAGGACTTTGCCCTTGAGCTGTCAGGTCTGCACTAACTCTAGGTAGTCAGTGCCTGGACTGGCCTGCAGCACACACAGCTGGTGTCAGCCGAGTTGGGCTGGCAGAGAACCATACCCGTCCTCAGTAATGACATAATACTATTTCCTATAACATACTTTTGAGACTAGGGTAAACATCATAATCTAGTAAATGGCCAACAGCTTTGTTGATCAGGTTTTGTGATGTTTTTATACCATACACAATGAAATGCAAGCAGTGTTGATCATTGGGTACCCCAATGCCTCCTGATCTGTGCCATCCATGCAGCTCCCCAAGCTGTACTCCCACACACTGTTTGCCTCTATGAAAGCACGTCCTGCTGTGTGCTACATTGGTCTATGCCTCTCTCTCATATTCTGGACTGTGAATTCCAAAGCAGGGACCACATCTCATTCCCCTTTGTATTCTAAAGCCAACTACAGTGCCTGGGGCACAGTACATGCCCCATAAATTTGGTGAATGAATGAGTCAGTGAAATTGCTCTGTCCACAAAATGACTTCTGTGAAGGAACGTGCTTGAGCGGGTGCTTTGGTTTGAAACTTCAAAGCCATTTGGACTCTTCCCTCTCTCTAGTCAACTAAAGAGAAATTTAGTTGTTTGGTAAATCAGAGAAATAAGTGACTCCTGAAGGGAAATAGTGAATAAAAATAAGAATTCCTTTAAACACAGTAAGAGAAAAGAGGATGTTATTAAGTATTCTTTTCCTCTTCTCTGAGATATTGTGTGGTCTCTTAGAATGAAAGAACATTAGCAATCCAATTTGAAGCACTACCTTTTCTCCCTAATCAGAATACTAGTATCCTTCTTGTAACAGCTTATCCACTCACCTTTTAATCTGGCATCACCCCCAAAGGCACCGCAGCCCCAGTTTCCCGTGGCCACTGCAGAAAGATTCTCTGAAGAAACTCCAGGACGGAGAAATCCACAGTAAGCCTTCAGGATGAAAGAAATACCAAAGTACATGAGTGACTAGACACTACCAGTCTTTTTGACTGATTTACTTGGGTCAGTATCTATTACCAGGCTTATGTTATCTCTCTCCTTTTTTTCTTAAGGGCCAAAGTAGAGAGAAAAACAGAAAATTGTGGGGTTATACAAGGAAAAGAATAAGAAATGATCAATTCTATTATTTATTTGCTTTGATGCTGGACAAATCAAAGCCCTTAAACCAATACGGTCTCAGTTTTCTTTTCCAATTCAAAGACATATAAATGGAAATGCCAGAGATATTTCAAGAACTGATAGTATCACAATTACAAACTACCAAGAACTAACTAAGACACGTAAGACATTTTCATTAGAAGGTTTCTGATCACCATTTTTTCATTAAAGAAAAGGGTTATTACTATTATGCTTCCTCAGCACTCTCTCTCTCTCTCTCTCTCTCTCTCTCTCTGAATTATTAGGACTAGATTAATAACTGTGATTAGATTTTTAAATGTGCTTCCTGCCACTAAAATGCTTAACAATGAGCAAGCAACTATATAGAAAAGGGATTCCTACACCTAGTTACAAAATAACCTTAGGGTCCCTTCCAGCTCCAATATTCTTTAGTTTCACAGCTCTGTTTTAAACCAGAATATTTTAAAATTTGCTATAACCTGAGAAAAGAACAATATATCCCGAGGACGCTGGCTATTAGTTACACGAACAGTTCATTTTGTGTATGAGAAGATTGCATTTTAAGGTTAAAATCCCAGAGTTTCTGGTCTCCATTTCTTTGCTCTCAGCCTAACTGGTCTTTCTGCCTAAGGGTTCTTAGTTTCTGAAACTATCAGACTATATTACAAGGTTGAATACAATAGCAAAGTAATCTCCCCTTGGTTCTTTCAAGTATGAAACAAAGCCTAAAATATAGCTTATGCATAATAGTAAATAAAATCTGTGACAAATGTTCCCAGAGAAAAACCAAGGATAAAGAAAGATTCTCTACAAAACCCACACAAAGAAATATAGTAAATTGCTGTCTGAAGTTTGAGCAAAGGTTTAAAAATCTACTTTAAACACTGTCTGGGTGGATTAATAAGGCTATTCCTTCCACCCCCTCCTAGGCTGTAAATCCTGGCAGATATTAATAAGGTGCTACCAGACCATTCAATGATTCAATGATGTGGTACAGAGCTTACACGAGAACCCACAAATTACCTGTATAATCAGATGCACGGAGCTCCTGAAAATCTCTTTCAGGTAAAAAATATCAAAGATCTCAATTTTTTGAGCAGGTTCTTGAAAGATATAGTCTCTCTCTCTGCCTTTGTGTCAACAAGAAGGAGAACAAACTCCCTGTCAGAAGAGACATAACTCTGCCACTTGGTTTCCTGTCAAATTCTCCTAACATGCCTACATGAAGAGGAAGCATCCTAGCTGGTGTCACTTTTGTGTTGTACTGTCAAAATGGATTTAGTCCCTTCCTCACTGCTGTCTCTACATAGCTGGGCTAACTTTTCTTTAATGAGCAAAAATAGCTTAGTGAAACTAAAGCCTAATTACAGAGAATTTGAAATATTTAGATTATTAGAAGCAAAATCTAATGTAAAGCATTAACCAATTTTACTAAAAAAAAAATCTATCTTAAAAAAATGGCTACAACTAAAACAAACTATAAAACTGAAATTAACCTGCATTTGGTGTTTTTATCAAATAAAATCAAATTTTAAAAAGTTAATCAGAAATAAAATGATAAAACACAATCACATAGTACTTAGATGTAAGAATAACTGTTTATAAGGATTAAATACAAAATTCTTTTAGTTTGTTAAAGCCAAGCATTTCCAAGGTCAGAAACAGGAGAGAAGCATCAAGCACCTCTGAATTCCCTTTAGAGGGACAATCCAAGCTTCTCCCTTCTTTAGGAAGGAGAGGGACCCCTCAAACGGCAGAGATCAAAACAGGGCCACTACTCAGGAAATCCCTTCCTTTTACAGGAGTAATTGGGCTCCTTTAGAAAGAACAAAGATCAGATAAGGATCCAGACCTTAAAAGAGCTGCCAAGTTATTACTTCACAGGGAGGTACTACGAGTTCTCAAGAGCTGCACACTGGCAACAAATACTTTACTTCCCCCCAAGGGGAGCCAGAACACTTCGGGAGATTAATCAGAGCAGTAAGAGTCAAAGAAAGCAAGCTTCAACCTCAGGCACATCTTGGCATGACATTTACCAATGCAAGAGCTACTTATTGTTACTAACAAACAACTTTAAAAGGGGAAAAAAGGAAGCGTTCATACCTCAGGACAGTAAGTAGAAGAAACGAATGAACATTCATACCTCAGAATTAGTGTTGATGGGAAGGGAAGAAGAGAGGGAAGATAAAGGTAATTTTGAAGTCCTGAAGGTTTCAAAAGAGAAGCCAAAGGCAAGAAGAAAATATTGGTATCTAAAGTTAAAAACTAGAGCCCAACCAGGAAATGGTGAAGACAGATGTAGGAAGGAAAGTATGAAAAGAGTTGTAAAAAACTACAGGCCCAGGGCCGGCCAAGTGGCTCAGTTGTTTAAGAGCGCGAGCTCTGAGCAACAGGATCACCAGTTCGATTCCCACATGGGCCAGTGAGCTGCGCCCAAGCTGAGCTGCCACTGAGCTGCCGCCAACAGGTGGCAGGATGGCTTAGCTGGTGAGAGCACGTGCTCCTAACAACATGGTTGCCAGTTTGACTCCTGCATGGGTTGGTGGGCTACACCCACCGCAACTAAGATTGAACACCGCATAGGGAACCTTGAGCTGAGCGGCGTGAGCTGCCTAGGGGTGGCCGGATGGCAACTGGAGTTGGAGCTGAGCTAGCTGTGCCCACCACAACTAAGACTGAAGGACAACAACTTGGCTATTCCCCTTCCCCAATTCCTCAATAAAATCTTAAAAAACACAACCAAAAACAAACAAAAAAACCCCTACAGGCCCAGAACTGGGTCCAGGAAATAGATGGTCCCCAGGGGAAAACTCATAGGCATCCATGTATGGACATGCGTTATATGTAATATAACTAATATGATATTGTATGCCGACTATATTTAAATTATAAATAAATAACTTAAAAAAATCTTTTGAAAGAATAAAATAATATTAATTAGGAGTCTTAAAAATTATTCTTAGATTCAATAATAACAATTTTGCAAATTTCTTTAGTTATTTGATTAAATAGCAATTGTACAAAGATGTTTATTACTATACCATGTATAATAGAGAAAAAATTGGGACCATCTGATTGTTCAAAAACAGTAGTTAAGTCACAGTATGTTGATACAACCAATTTTATGACTATTAAACATATTATTATGAAGATTATTAGAAAGTATGAAAATTATTTATAATATATGGTTAAATAGGCAAAATACAAAATTATAGGTAACTTTTAAACAAATTTATATGAAATTAAATATTCATGTAAGAATACCTACACAAACAAAAACAAGTATTTGAAAAGTAGGATTATGGATGACTTTTTTGTCTTTAAAAATAATTGTAACATTAGTAAATTGATTTTACTTTTTAAAAATGAAATATAAAATGAAAGAATTATGCAGCCTTAGTTTCCTCATGTGTGAAATTGAAGATTAGATTAGGTATCTCTTTGGTTATTCTGATTCTATATATTGAGAGACTTAAGGGAAAACTCACTAAAAACGATACATTTTGAACTGATATTCCTGAAAAGTAAAGTGACACATACTTTTAAGATCATAAATGATTACATGTTAAACTTCTTAGAAATATCAGCAGCAAGTATTGATTGATTTTATTAACCAAGCAAGCTCTGGTTTAATAACAACCCCCTTCCAAATTTGGCTATGGGTAATTTATAAAATCAATAAACAAATCAATTTTTAAAAGGTAAATGGTGGTTATTTGCTTCTGGGGTGGTCTCTTCACTTAGTTAAATTTCTGATCCAGAACACTCCATGAAATATATTCATTACTTAATCTTACTGGAATGAGTCTAACATGGCTAAATACAACTTTTCACAGACGATTTCTTTCTTCCCTTGCTGAGCTACTTGCCACTTTTGCAAGCTGGAGTCATAAGTCTTTCCAACTACAAGGTAATTCTCTTCTAGAATGTCACCCAGTTGATTTCTCACAGAATAAACAATGCTTCACAATATCAGGCAAAAGGAGACTGATTCTTCTTTTTAAAAACTAACTCTACTAGGTGACATGTGGGGCCAATAGGAGAGGCAGAGCCTGGATGGAGCGGACTGTTTCCAGAGGTAACAAAGCACTTTGTGGGACTGCCCTTTCCATTATTATCCAGTTAGCAATGCCTAAAAGCAGCAGAGAGGCCCTTAGAGTTCAAAGATCCGCACTGAATTCTGCTGGTGGAAATTGGTCTTAGGCTCTGTTGCTTCATTTAGAAAAATGGAGCGTTTCTATTCCTGCCTACTTTCTCTCTGGCATGCAAAAAAAGTAGAATTGTGCAAGTCATCTCTAAAGTGATTTAATATAGACTTCTGCTTTAAACCTACCTAAATTGACAAAACACAGTGTAAAACATTTAATTTAATATTCTCTCCAAGTGGTGCTGTTGATGGAAAACTCCGTTGCTTGTAGTAAAATTCATAACTCATTTCACTAGGTAAGTGTAAATAATAAATGATGGAATTCTTTAACTTAGAAGGCCCAAAGTTACCTGGATTAGTTTTCTAATTAAGTCGTCAATATATTTAACAAAATCATTTACTGCTTTCTTCTTTTTCAATGAGAGAATTAGAAAGCTAATTCTATGCTAAAAGAGGAAATGTTTTCAAATACAGTAGTGAATAAAAAAACCATACATTTATCAAATGCCTGCCCATGTGCCAGGCCTGAACCAGGTGCTTTCTCAGTGTTAGCTGATGTGCCCACGGGTTACATTTGAAGAATATTTAGGAAATACCCATGAATTTGTAACATTCTGAGTGATTTGAGATAATGTATTTATATCTAAAAAGTTTATCTTAAAACACCGTATTTGTAATATGTAAGAAGTTTAATTAATCATTAACTAACTCCTTTAGCAAATATTTTGGAGACGTTCCCATCAGTAAGGCAGTGTGCCAGGCGCTGACCAACCTGAATGAAATTAAACTTATTCTGAAAAAGGTTACCGTATTTGCCGGCGTATAAGACGATTTTTTGGCCCTGAAAAATATGCCTCCAAGTGGGGGGTCGTCTTATACGCCAGGTACACTTCAGATAGACTGCCCATAGTGCTTGCCCCGTGCCATAGTGGCCTCCCGATGCCCGCCCACTTCATTCCACATACCGTTCAGGCATCAGCAGTGCTGCTGGGTGTATGCTCAGCTGTTATGCGATTTTGCTGTTATGCGATTTTACCACACTCGCAAAATCGCACACAGCCGACCATACACCCAGTATGATAGCGCAAAATCGTGAATCACTATTTATGTATATGTTTGATTACATACAGCCTTGTGACAGTTTTCCTGCATGTCATAAGCATTTGAATATAAATATAAATGTTGAAATCAAATCTGATATTGTTTTACCTTTTATTTGGTGTGTGGAAGGTGTGCGGAAGAGGGGGTAGTCTTATACGGCGAGTATATAACAAACTCTGTATTTTGAGTGGAAATGTTAGGGGGTCGTCTTATACGCCCAGTCGTCTTATACGCCGGCAAATACGGTATTTAAAGATTCATTCTTTTTGTATAAAGTGTATCTCATAATGACTCTACATTCTACAAATAAGTGTTTTTCAACGTTGGTAACACAACTAACAACCTATTCATATACATCAAAGCTTCACATTTTAAATATTTCTGGTGTCTTTGAGGACCAGTAAACTGAAAGTGCTATACAAGTAAATGTAGAGAACATCAATTGGCCATAGGGAATTAAAAAAGAAAAGACTTATGTATGCCCAGGGCTATCTTTTAAAAAGCTCACATTTGTTGATAATTTCTAAAAGTGAATGATTTAGCACCTACAGAAAGTATTTGTGGGAATACAGACTTTATCCATAAAGAAGGGAACCTTTAAATCTGTGTTAATACATGATTATGCTTAAACACATTTCCTTTTCATATATTTCCCTCCAAACTATATAAACGTCTGCTTATATAAACATATTCCGGTATCAGTGATCATGTGAAACTTGCATATATTGCATATATTGGTGTACATGTTTAATAAGTAATATCTGGTGAAAACCTAAGATAAATCTTCTTATTCTACTTGATATACTATATGATAAAATGTGCTTGGAGACAACTGCTATAAGGCAAGAGTTTGGAACAGTGAAAGCAAGCTCACATTTAAAACTACCTAATATAATAAAAGGTATTCTTCTGGCAAATCTCTGACTTTCAGACTCAGGTGAAAGAGAAAAATTATAACTGTTGATATACCAAAGAACAGTCTTTCTGGATAGTGGAATTGCTTTTTTAAAAAGATAAACTGAATATCTATTACATAAGTTCAACTTTGAAAAACGATTCATTCCCTCTTCAAACTTTTTGAGAGATTCCTTTGAGAATGCTAAACAGTAAAATAACCTAATAAATTATTTATAACAAAAGATGTCCAACAATAAGATTATCAAGTAGATTGAGATATACGATAATAAATGTAATTATATTCATAGTATCTACTAAGTTGTAAGTGTAGAAAAAGCCTTTCTGGATTATCTGGTTGTTTATTTTCCTAATAATAGACAGGCAACGCAGTTCGGCTGGGAGAAGAGGAGCCCCACAAAGACAGTTCCTGTGGTGAGACTCAGGGAGAAGATGCAGAGATGAGGGAGCAGATGCCACATGCACCCCAAACCCCCTGCAGTGGTGCACCCAGTCTGCTGTCATTATCAAGTCTGTGTGTAGGGACTGGAACACGTATAATTATGTAAAACCACAAACTTCATCATCTTAATAAACAATCTCATAACTAAATCCTACTTGTGGGAGTTAAAGAGTGGTTTTCAGAATTGGGTCAGTCTTCTTGGCTGTGGGAGTAATCTGAGAAACTAAAGAAAATGTCTGTCTTGGTAAGACCCTAAACCTAGAGAATAGTATCAGCGCTCTATTGTATGATAGAGTTTATTTATTATGGTTAACAGTAGTTTGAACTAACAATAGAAATGGCTCTTTTTAATATTTCTGCAACACAAAGATTATAGTAGACAGCATTAAGCATTACAGAAAATCATAGATTCCACAACATGTTAAATTACCAAATCGATATACAATTCACACATGGTTCTTACCTATAACAGAACAATATTAACTTGACTTTTCTGGTTTATCTGTTTTCACCCTGACAGCATACCTTGCAGAGAAAACATCACTGGGTAGGTCTAAAAGAACGTTCAGGGCTCGTTCATTTCTATGTGGTTTTACACTGATAATGCTCCAAAGCAGCTAAGAGTACTTGATGAGATAAATGCATGTGTGGGCTTCATGTCAAGCAACAGTCTATCTGGCATCAGTAATCAAACAATTACAAAATGGAAAGTACATCTTGTACAAGCTGACAGACACATTAAATCAGGAGAGCTGTGAGCAGACATACTGACACTGCAAGAATTACCAGAAAGCATTAATTTCAGCGTTAATAAAATGACAGTAAATAGATGACAGTGGCCAGATGAAATAAGAAATAATGTTACTGGCCTTGTTAAGCTCACGTCTGATTTTCTCAGGCACAAACTGGTCGAGGTAGCGTCTGAAGTGAAGGGCATCGATAGCAACAATCTCTGTGCAGCGCCGCTGCCAGGCGTCCCTGTGGCAAGAAGAGGGGACAGGTGGGTGGAGGAGGGCTGGGTGGCCCTCACACAGTGAGAGCCTCCTGTGTCAGACTTCTGAGACTTTGGCAGGGTTAAAAGATTAAGAATGAACAAACAAACAAACAAACCCATAGCTAGAGGTCTCAGCTGAACAGGAAGGCAGAAAACACCATTTTATTCTATTAGATTCCAAGGCATACACTTTGTAGCAAAATGAAAAATTAGGAGAGACAACAAACATGATGTATTGTAAATGGGTACATCATTTACAGTGAGTCTGAGGTTAAAGGATTTGGGGGCAAAAAAAAAAAAAGAGGCGCTTTAGTGTTCGCCTAATACTAAAGACCTGGCGTTTTTATTTCAACACGAGCTCATTCCTCCTTTGTTTTGAAAGACTTGCTCTAGGTCACTGGGTGTGTGGCATTACCATATATTGTCCAAGAAATAATCCCAAGAAGTCAAGTGTTACAAAAACTGTGTAATGACTCAGCACAACATTCTACCTACTGTGCTCAATTCTGACTGTGTGAAATTGTTTTTAAAAAGACAAAGACAGCAGAGCAGAAATAACACATTGCCTGTGGAAATAGGAAGGACTGGGTGAGATGATTTTGGCAACATGAAATTCCAAGGATTTCATCTCTTACCAACTTGCACATATTGATATGCCAAGCAACTTTCTACAATGAAGAACAGCAATAAAACCTTCATGTTAGATTAAAAAGAATGATCAGGAGTTAAACATCTACACAGACAATTGCTGCAACCACAGATTTTAAGCAAAACAAAGGGAAAGAGATCAGGGGCTGGACTTGAGCTACTACAAACAACGGGTTTGTATGGTTACATGGGCAATAGCTGCTTCTTCCTGCCACGATGGCTTTTTCATTAACACACATACATACACACATACGCACGCACGTACGCATAAGCTTTCAGGCATCATTTCTATAAAAATTTACCTCGGGTAAACCAACTTAGTGGGGAAGCAAGGATGTCAACATGTAAAAATATAAATAAAAAAATAGCAGCAGCAAAATTCACTGTAAGTTCTGCTGTCAACTGTTTCAAGGCATTAAGCACACTGTCTGAACATAGGTCTCCCCCACCTACCTAATCTCTCAGAAAAGGTAAGAAAACTACATATACAGTTTAAAGGCTTTCAGCTATATTTAGAACCTATTCTAAATAAGTCTGGCCTTAGAAGTTAACCTCCATTGACTGCTTATGATCGGCAGCTGAAAGGTAAAGAACTGTGTAGAGAGCTCTGCCCTTCTTGTTTTTGACTTAGGCTTTTGGCTTTTATTTTCTGTTCTCTTTGGTATATGGCGATGGTAATACTGTTTTTAACTACTAATGAACCCGTAATACTGAATTTTAAAAGACAGTTAACTTCCTGAAATAAGAGTAACGGGAGGCAGGATGTACAAGGTCACATTCCTTAGCTTTGGCCAAGCGATACTCAAGTCAGTAATGTACTCACCTTTCACTCCCATCGTCATGGCTCCGGGCCCAACGATACGTTTCAGCATAGCCTGTGTATTCGCTGTACTGTTCAGTACCTGAAACAAATAATCTGCCAATATTATTTTTCAGAAATATTTTCCTAAAAGCTACACCTTCTAAAAAAGTCTTTATTAATAAACTCACTCCTCCTTCTGGAAATATCTTATTGGCAAATGTCAACTAAAAAACAACAACAGTAAAAAAAAAAACCAAACCATTGGTCTTAATACATGTTTTTATTTCCCATAAAGAAAAAGAATGATGCCTCCTAAACCCACTACAGTGTTTATCATACAGTGACTGAATGTCTCAATCAACACAGAAAACAAAATATCCTGTCATGTTCATTTCTTTCTCTTAAGAGGAATGCATAAAGACTGTTTTGTAAAAGTCCAGTCTTCAATGTCAGTAATTTGATGGTAATATTTAGTTTGTATTGCTGAAAAAATAAATTTTAAAGGCATTCCCTGCTAAAAAAAGTTTTTATTAAAATTAAATCTAAGATTTGCCTATTAATAGGCAAGGTACTTCCAAAAAGTTTGGTAAAACGAGGATATTATGGCATGAGAAGAAAGGGAAGGAAAAAAGCACAATTAATACTAATCTGATGAGAACATGTACCAAGCTTGCCATATAACACAGGTTTCTAATTCATTGTAGCTGAACATATCAGGAGGGATGGTGTCAAAACTGTTCCGCTATTTAATTAAATAAGCTCATTCCAATTCCTACAGTCAACTCAATAATCACCTGACTTTTCAAGAATCAAAAAAGAACAATAACAAAAAAACCCCAGTAAAATGAAAAGCTGAAAACCCTGAGCAAGATAATACTTTGTATATAAAAAAGGACAAAGAAGCAAGACACCACTGATAACTAAGATTAATTATTTTTTTTTAGTACAATTGTCCTAATTTTGCCAGTAAATAAAATGTAAGCAGACTGACTATTTCAGGCAGCTGTACTTGTTAACAAATGACTACTCATATAATAAAGGTCCAGTATTGAAAATATTTAGGACAAAGACTTAATATGAAGGGGGAAATGATTCTAGAATACAGTGTTTGAGGAAATATACACTTATAAAAATACAGAACACATTTAATAAAAATAAAAAGAATACAAAATGAAATCATGACATGCTAATAATAAACTGTCAGTTATTTATCCAAAGCCAAATTAATTCAATTTAGGGGGTTGGGTTAACTTGTTACATGTTTACTTAACTCTGAAGCTATTATACACAAAGCATAATAAACGTAGTGATGAAGATTACAAATGGCCTCTATATTTAACTATCAATATAAACAGAGAACAGAGAAACGTATTAAATACCACCGTGAAGATGTAATCAGGAAAATTCAGACCCTGGAAAATTCTACAGGACCAACAGGCTGGACTGCTTATTTAAAAAAAGGGGTAAGGAAAGAAAAAGAGGGAGGAGCCTATAAATAAAAGGGAACAAATATGAAAACACTAATTATAAGAAAATGGGCACAGTATATTAATACTGGATAAAACTGACTTCAAGTCAGAGAGTATTATGTAAGATAAAGAGGAACATTTCATAATGATAAAAAGGTCAATTCATCAAAAGACATAACAATTGTACTTTTATTTTGGTAGAACATTTGAAGAATTAATGAAATTCATCTATTAACAGATTAAAGAACCCCACATATTTATATCAAAAGTTGCAAGAAAGATAAAATTCAACTAACATTCATGATTAAAACTCAGCAAAACTGAGAATAAAAAGGAACTTCCTCAATCTTATTTAAGATCACTACCTAAAAACTTACAACTAACTTCATATTCAATGGTAAAAATATTCCACCTAAGATCTGTTAAAAAACAAAATTCAGTAGAGTAAATTTTAAGGATCTTATTGGCTTTATTCAATGATTCATGGATTGGGCAGCATCCCACTTGGCAGACAGAAAGGAGCTCAGAAGAGCTATACAAAATGAAAGACTTTTTATAGACAGAAGGGAACAGGACAAGGAAGTTATAAAAGCAAAGAGCAGATTGTTTCAGGCAAGGTCACCTTCTTTTAGGGGACAGCAGAGGTCTATCAGGCAGACTACCTCACTAGTGCTGACCAGGTAATTCCAGATTGACTGGTTTAAGATTCCATTACTGGGGGAGGCTGAAACTGTAATTAAGTTAGGTATTAAATCTCAGTTTGGTGATGTGGACTCAGCACAACTGACTCCATTTTGGGCCTGTTGTCTCTTTTTAAACAGATCAATGCAAAGATTACCACTCTCATCATTTCTATTCAACACTGTAGTGAAATGAAGGTCCAAGCCACTGCAATAAGGCAAGAAAAGAAATGTCATAAAGAGTGTAAAAAAGTAAGACTGTCGCTATTTGCAGATGTCATGATTACTTATGTAGCAAATCCTAAGGAATCACTAACAAAGAAAGGAGGATGGGGGAGGGAGTGGGGGAAGGAAGGGAAGAAGAGAAAAGAAAGAAAAGCTTGTAAGTAAATGTAGTACGATCAAAGGTATATCTATATACTAGCAGCAAACAGTGGGAAAATAAAACTTTTAAAAAAATCATAGCATCAAAAAATGTAACAAAAGATGTAGAAGACACCATCAAGAAAAAGTAAAGAAGATCTAATTAAATGGAGTGATAGACTATGTTCAGGGATTAGAAGACTCAAAACTGTTATAATATCAGTTTTCCTCAATCTTGTTGATAATCTTAGTAGACTTTTAAAAATAGTAATTCAGAAAATGATTCTAAAATTCATGGAAATGCAAATAATGTAGAATAGCCTAAACATTTTCCAAAAAAAGAAAAAAAATTGGAGGATTCAACATTTACAGTTGACCCTTGAACAAGTGGACCCATGCAGTTCAAACCCATATTGTTGAAGGGTCAACTATACTTGGTCTTGGCCTAAGGAAAAACCAATAGATCAATGGAAAGAAATAGAATAGGTAAATCCGCACTTGCACAAGCAATTGACTTTTCACCAAAAAGTGCTAAAAATCTATTGGGAAAAGAATAGTCCTTCCAAAAATGTTGCTGGAACAAGTAGATACTTATATTTTAAAAAAATGAAAAAAACATAACCTTCAACTGCTACCTCACATTATGAATGAAACATATTTTGAGATAAACATAAAACCTAAAACTATAAGACTTCTAAAGAAAATATAGGAGAATGGCTTAATGATATTAGAGTAGGGAAAGATTTCTTAGACAGGATAAAGAGAATAGTTGCCTCAATACAATTTTTTTTAAAAACTAGATTAATATTAAAACAGTAAGGAAAATGTTTAGGCAAGGCTGGAGGAAAAAATATTCTGAATACAAGTATTTGACAAAAATTTGTGTTCAGAATATCTGAAGAATTCCTGTAAGTCAATAATAAAAACAAACAACCCTATTTAATGGGCAAAAGACTTGAACATAAACTTCACAGAGACAGATAAATAATTGGCTAATGCCTACATGAAATACTGCTTAACATCACTAGTCACCACAGAAATGTAAATTATAAGCACTATGAGCTACCACTACATACCCAACAGAGCAGCTAAAATTTAAAAAAATGACATTAAATGTTGACAAGGATGTAGAACAAGTGGAATTCTCATATATTGCTGGTAGAGCATAAAACGAACAATAATTCTGAAAAATGGTTTCGCAATTTCTTATAAAATTAAACATACATCTACTCTGTAACCCAGAAATTACACCCAACAGAAATTGAAAATGCATGTCCCCCAGGCCGGCCGAGTGGCGCGTTGGTTAAGAGTTGGCTTGGGACACCAGCTCTGTGCAAGAAGGGCCCTGGTTTGGATCCCACATGAGGGCCAGTGATGCTGCGCCCTCTACAGCTAAGATGTTGAACAACAGCTCAACCTGGAGCTGGGCTGCTGTGAGTCGCCGGCGACGGTGTAGGCTGCAACCCCTGTGGCAGTGGGCTGCCGTGAGCTACCGTGAATGGCTGGCAGCCAGCGTGAGCAACCGTGAGCTGCCATGAGTGGCTGTCCAATGGCTGGTGACCGACTGCTTCACCCGGGAAAAGTGCAACGATCACAATACCAACGTGGGCCAGTGAAGCGACGTCCTCCACAACTAGACTGAAGAACAAAAGGACAGCAACTTGTCTGTTCCCCTTACCCGACTCCCCAATGCTGTTCCCTTTTAATTCCCCAATAAAATCTTTTTTAAAAAAAAAGGATGGCACATTCTAAGGGACATAATAGCTACCTTGAAGGGGCTCTCATTGACCAAATCTAGGACAATTTAGCATCAAAATAGATAGTAATGGATTATAACCCACTGAATAAAACAAGAATCCTATAACTATACAAATATTTATAAACAAATACATATAAATGAGGGAAAAGGGAAAAATGGTTATAGTAGTGTGTCAACTACTAAATGTAAAAGGAATGATGAAGTCAAAGAAACTATCAAGGGCTGCTTAAAATTAGTGGGTGCAAGTCTGACGGGGACAGGATATTTACAGCTTCAAAATATACAAATCACATGATTACAGATTAATTACAAAGACAAAAAGAGTAATTTGACAGTGGAGAAATCTGGCAGTTCCTACCTTAACCAAGTTATAACACCCAGTATCACAAATATTGGGACAAACTGGTATTACTTTTCTCCTCAAAAGATACACTGAGTAAGACACGTCACTTCAGACGGATTCCTACCAAAATGAATAAATTGAATCTAGTTATGAAAAAAAAGTAGGCAAACTGCAAAATAATGAACATTCTACCAAGTAATTGGCTTATATATTTGTACTTTAAAAATATCAAGGTGAACAAACACAAGGAAAGGTTGAGAAACTGTACCAGTGTAAAGGATACATGACAACTATATTCAAGGTGTGATTCTGGATTGGCTTGTAAACTTGCGGGGAGGGGGGTGGGGGCAGGGGGAGAGAAAGCTACGAAAGATATAATTAGGATAACTGACAAAATTAGAATATCATCTAGGGATTAGCTAATGGTACTTTATCAATGTTAAATTTCCTAATTTTGATGACTGTGCTGTACTGACGAAGGAGAAT